CACCTGCTTTGTTTAGCCTCGGTGCTTCCATCGCTTAGTTGTAAGCTTCAGATCTTTGATATGGACATGGATGCCATTGTTTCTGCTCTGCATGTGATGTATGCTGATGACTCTAGTGTGCTTCCAGCTTATTACTCACTGTTGCCTAGTGTAGGTGTGCCTAGAGTAGCCTCCCCTGCTACGTCAGGCGTAGGATCCTCTGCTTTGTGTAGTCTTGGTGCTTCCGCCGTCGTTCCGTCGCCAGCCGCCTCTGCTTCGCTTTCCTTCACCTTGGACTCTGGCGCTTCTCGGTGTTTCTTCCGCGACTCCACCACCCTGACGCCGCTTCCTGTTCCTGCTGCCGTTTCTCTTGCTGACCCCTCTGGCGGTCCGGTGGTCGCCCGCAGTTCCACCACCCTTCCCTGCCCGGCGGTTCTTTCGGGCTCTCTTACAGGTCTGCATATCCCCTCATTCTCCAGGAACCTAGTTGGTGTCGGCTGCCTCCAGGACCTTGGCGTCACCACTACGTTCCCTGGTTACAAGCGGTATGCTGTCTGTACCGAGGCCGCCACCGGTGCCCCCCTGTCCACGTTCCCCCGGGACCCGGTGTCTGGCCTGTTCACTCTGGACATCGTGCCCCCCCGGCTGGGGCGCTCCCTCAGGTGGCTGCGTCTACTCAGGTTGCGGCTGCCTGCTCCTGTCAGTCCCTCACTCACCTGACGCTCCTCTGGCACCATTGCTAGGTCACCCTGCGCTCCCGCGTCTGCGTCACATGTCCCAGCACGGTCTTGTCCTTGGTCTCCCAGGTTCTCTCCCCGCGTTTCCCTCCTCCCCAGCCCCCCCTTGCACGCCTTGTGTCGAGGGTCGGCTTCGCCGTGCCCCTCACTCCTCCTCGTTTCCCCCTACCTCCGCGCCGCTGCAGACCCTGCACCTGGACATCTGGGGCCCCGCCCCTGTCCCTGGGCCGCGTCGAGAGCGCTACTTCCTTGTGCTCGTCGACGACTTCACTCGTTACACCACAGTCTTTCCCCTGGAGCGCAAGGCCGACGTGCCTGGCGCTCTCATCCCCTCGCTTGTCTCTGCGCGTGTCCACCGCGGTCTCCCTGTCCTGCGTCTTCACTCAGACCGTGGTGGCGAGTTTGCCTCAGGTGTCCTTGGTCGCTTCTGTCGTGCGGAGGGCATCACCCAGACGTTCACCCTACCGGACTCCCCACAGCAGAATGGGGTCGCTGAGTGACGCATCGGTTTGGTCATGGAGGTGGCTCGCACCTCCATGATCCATGCCGGTGCACCCCATTTTCTGTGGCCGTTCGCTGTGCGCTACGCTTCTCACCAGCTTAACTTGTGGCCGCACCCTCAGCAGCCGCAGGTTTCGCCGACCCGTCTTTGGACTGGGTCTCCTGGTGACGCGTCTGCGTTCCACGTCTGGGGCTGCCTTGCTCACGTCCGTGCCTCCGGCACGGACAAGCTCACTGCCCGCACCCTTCCCTGCGTCTTCCTCGGTTTTCCCCTTGACGCGTCCGACTGGCACTTTTACCACCCGCCGTCTCACCGCTTCTTTCACTCTCGTGACGTCACCTTTGACGAGTCCGTCTCCTACTACCGTCGCTTCCCCCACCATGGTCCCCCGGTTACCCCCCCCCTGTTCCTGGTCACTCCTTCCCCGGTAGTCCCTGCCCCTCCTCCTCCTCCTCCCCGTCCCGCCCCCTCTGGTGTGTCCCACGTCACCCCCCTTCCGTCGGTGGACCCTGCTGGGGAGTCTTCTGACTCTGGTGGCCCTCCTGTGCAGTCCTCGCCGGCCGCCCCTCCCCTGGCGTCCCCTTCCTAGTCCCCTCCTCCACCGCCTCTGCCGCCGCTGCAGCCGTCGTTGTCGCTGCCGCCGCCGCCGCCGTCGCAGCACCCGTTCGCTGACTCTGGGGGTGCTCGTCCCGGTCGCCCTGCGGGTGGTCCCTCTGGGGGTGCGGGTGTGGAGAGTGCTGGTGGTAGCCGAGGAGCAGCTTGCGGTCCTGGTGTCGCCGTTGTGCCGCCGCAGCAGCAGTCCTCGCCGGTGTCCGCCCTTCGCCTGCTCGGCCTTCCGTCCCCCGACCCTGCGTCGGTTCCTCCCCCACCGTCTCCTCCTCTTCCTGTCTACGGCCCTGTTTTTCCTCCGCCGGACTTGTCCCCGGCTCGTCTCCCCCCTCGCTCCCCTCCTGTGTCCCCTCCCCTGTCTCCTGACCCGACTCCTCCGTCGCACGTCTGGTCTCACCGCCCCTCCCGTGCTCGCCCTGCCTCGCCTGTCTTGCGCTCCCACCCTATGTTGCTTCGTTCCCACGCGTCTCGCCCTCCCCTTCTGCCGTTGCCTCCTCCGTCCTCCCTTGTTGTTGCACCCCCCCCCGCTGTCTGACTACCTTCGTGCCGCTCGTCCTCTTGTTCCTCGGGTCCTTGCCTCTCTCGTTACCGACCCGTCTGTTCCGGTCCCGTGCCTTGACACTCTTGTCGCTGCTGTCGCTGACTTCGCCTCTACCCGCCGCCTTGACTACGCCACCGCTCTGGTCTCTGACCCTGCGTGTCCACCGTCTGTCGGGGGTGCTCCTGCCCTGGGCAGTGACGTCCTGGAGGACCGCCAGTTCGAGCTTGCTTTCCTCTCCGAGGCTGCTCCCCATCTCTGTTCCATGCTGCTAGTCCCTGAGGGTGACCCAGACGCTTTCGACATCCCGACCCCTCGCACTTACGCTAAGGCGACCTCGGGACCCTGGGCCTCTCAGTGGATAGCTGCCATGGAGCAGGAGATGGCATCTTGGAGATCCACCGGCACCTTCGTCGACGCAGTTCCCCCACCTGGGGTGAACGTAGTCGATGGCCGCTGGCTCTTCAAGGTGAAGCGCCCTCCTGGAGAGCCGCCGGTCTTCAAGGCGCGCTATGTGGCTAGAGGCTTCAGTCAGCGCGAGGGGGTGGACTTCTTCCAGACCTTCGCTCCGACCCCGAAGATGATTACTCTTCGGGTTCTGTTACACCTAGCGGCTCTGTGTGACTACGAGCTTCACTCCCTCGACTTCTCCACTGCCTTCCTTCAGGGCAGCCTACACGAGCAGGTCTACCTGCGTCGCCCTCCGGGCTTTACTGGCACCTTCCCTCCCGGTACCCAGTGGCTCCTACGGCGCCTCGTCTATGGCCTGCGCCAGGCTCCTCGTGAGTGGCACGACACTCTTCGTGCTACCCTTGCTGACCTGCAGTTCTTTCTGTCTTCCGCAGACCCTTCACTCTTCGTTCGTGCTGGCCAGACTCCGTTCTACATCCTTGTTTACGTCGACGACCTGGTCTTTGCCACAGCAGACAGGGACGCACTGGCCTCCGTGAAGGCAGAGCTTCTGAAGAGACACACGTGCACTAACCTTGGAGAACTGCGCCGTTACCTTGGCTTGCAGATCTCCAGGGACAGAGCTGCGCGCACCATCACCCTGACTCAGTCACACTTGGTGCGCCAGGTCCTTCAGAGGTTCAGCCTTCAGTTCTCCTCTGCACAGCCCACCCCTCTACCTCTAGACCACAGGCTCTCCGCTCCAGTGTCTGAGGAGTTGGTAGAGCCCAGCGGCCCCTACGCAGAGCTGGTGGGTTGCCTCATGTACCTGATGACTTGCACTCGCCCAGATCTCGCATACCCTCTCAGCATCCTGGCTCGCTTTGTGGCCACAGGCAGACACCGACCGCAGCACTGGTCTGCCGCTAAGAGGGTTCTGCGTTATCTTGCTAGTACATCGGGCATGGGGTTAGTGCTAGGAGGACGCAGGCCAGTGGTCCTTACTGGACACACAGACGCTTCGTGGGCAGACGACGCTGAGACGCTCAGGTCTACCCAGGGCTACTGCTTCAGCCTTGGCTCAGCTGCCGTCTCGTGGAGAGCTACCCGCTCCTCGTCTGTAGCGCAGTCCAGCTGTGAGGCTGAGATCTACGCTGGTGCCATGGCGGCACAGGAGCTCCGCTGGCTGACCTTCTTGCTCACTGACTTAGGTGAGCGGCCTAGCTCTGCCCCGGTCCTGTTCGCTGACAACAGGGCCATGATCCTCTTGTGTCAGGAGCCTCGACTCGAGGGCAGAGCGAAGCACATTCAGCTGCGGTACTTCCTCCTGCGTGAGCTACAGCAGCGACGTCAGGCTCGCGTAGTACACTTGGCCTCAGGTGCCAACACGGCTGATATCTTTACGAAGGCGCTTGCGCCTAAAGATCATCAGCGGCACTGTGTACAGCTTGGTCTAGTTCCTGTAGCCTCTCACTTGCTAGGACATTGACTTTGTACTGTCCTTTATACGTATACTCAGGCTGGACTTGTGTCCTCTCGCAGTGGCTGGACTAGTAGTGCCGCCCTGCCCTTGTTTTTGCCTTGTTTGTACTTCCTCTGACTAGTCTCTTAGACCCTTGTCTCAGAGGTTGGACTAGTAGTGCCGCCCTGAGCTGTTTGTTTAGGGCATTCCCCTATGCAGTCTAGGGGGTGTGTCAAACATGTGTATTTGTCATGTTTGTATAGACTGTATAGGGTCGCCTCTTAGAGAGTACAGCACTTAGGTATATCTTTGTGTACTCTCACTCTATCTATCATTCAATTTTCAATTCTGATAATATATAGAAAAGTAGGAAAGTGATGCAGTTGTAGAATACACTTGAAGGAACGGTTATCGAGTTGCACAGCGACTCGATAGTCGATTCGATTACCACCCTTGCAGTTGTAACGGTCAGTCGCAACCTCCGGTTGCGACCCTTCGAGTCTTTCGTCCTTGCGTGTTCTTTCGTTCAACCTCCTCGTGTAAGCTCCGTTGACTCGCATACTCGATATGACTTTTCTAGAGTGTAGTGTTAGACTTCAGAAACGCTCAAGTCCTTGAGGTATTTCCAACAAGAAGGTAGAACGCTAAGATACCACGCCCTATGGGTTGGGATGTATCTCAATACTGAATGATTTTTTGGGTTGCGGAGCAACCTATTGCAATCGATCAGGCTGGTTTTTCTTTTTTCAAGTTTGTGAAATAAAAATCAAATGTTTGTTGTGATGGAAATAAAACATTTTATGTATAATTAAGTATTTTCATGAAATGCTCCGCAACCTAAGACGATCTCGTCGCCTCTTGTTTTCTCTGCTGGCTCCCCTCCTTTCCCACCCATGGCAAACCACGGAGACGGTAGACTGATGTTCAAACCAGAAAAACCGCGCGGTATAATTGACAGAAGGTTTACAAGCGGAGGGAAAGGGAGGGGGGGGGGGGGCAATAATCACACTCAGCAGTATAGTTTACGACAACTCAATCTCGTCATCCTTGAAATGAACGAAGAACTTCTTCTTGGCACCATTAACCTCAGTCTCGAACGCCACCTTGTACGGCAAGTTCGCGGACACTGGCGTCCCCTTATACACGCCAAGGACGTCCTTCACAATCCCCTCTGTCCCTTCCAAATCCAACTCCTTCACCCCTGGCACATGGAAGACCTTCACGGACTGGGACACCCGCACCTTGTCGCCCACTGCTACCTTGTTATGCTCGCTAGCAGACCCGCCACCCAATTGAACGGCGACCTCTGCACGAACACCACGCTTCAACAAGGGAGCAGCACGTCGAGTAGACGGGAACGACCGAAGCGTAGATGACGACGCAACAGCTTGCCGAAAGCCTGTGACTGGTGACTGGGTATGAGCCACCAGAGTCGTGGAGGCAACGGATAGTGAGCAAGCCATTGCAGAGAACCTACGCCGTTGAAATCAATGGGCGAGACGAGCCGCTATTCGAGGCCCCAGTGATTTTAGCGTAAATATGTTGAGACTGGAAACTGGTGCCGAATGGACTGCTTCAGAGCGATAGCTGTAGGCGAAGGGGAAATCGGTAAGGATGGATAAAGACAGACAGAACAGAAGCCTCCGGAAAATGCTTGTGCTGGCGGTGTGGCATGACTCTGATGGTACGTGTGTACGTGACCCCAGCCATGACATCCCTGAAACTCCCCTGCTGCGTCAGCGAGACAAACTACGTGGCAGAAATTCTGCCTATCTGTTCGTGGATCTGCCCATGAAGCGGATGAGCCTGCCACGCGGGATCGACTTTCTCGGAGGACCATTCATTGGTGAAAGGCAAATTTCCCAGGCCAGGCAAGCTGAAGGGCCACTGTCTAGGGCAAACGAAAAAATATCTGCTATAGAGCTGGGACGCTTCTTCACAAAAGCATCTGACCTCAGCATCACTGCTGAACTTCAATATCCAAAGAGTTTAGTCTCTTTTATAACCATCAATTTGATAGCATACAGCATATCTTCCATGCGATAAAAGGACTTTTCCAACGATAACAGTATTATATTGATTGAAATCTCGATACCCATCATAGACCATAAAGGCAACGCACACATGTACTGGTATATATGGACTTGGGGTTGCAAATTGCATGCACATCACGTTGGCGCGTGCTGTAGAAATGATTGGATGCTGCGTTGGGCCGGTGAATAGGGTCCCTTTGCTAATATTGGTGTTGGCTGAGGAACTTTGAGGCACATCGCAACATGGGTGGGAGTAAGAGTTATATTATGTGATGCTTTGCAATTTAATACATGACGTGTTGTTGTTTGGATCAATCCACATTTTTGTGTATTCGGTTGAGACTGCGTGCAGGGGACAGCACCCCGCCGCTGCCATCACCTGTCGCCCATCCCGCGTTCGACTCCCCCGATGCAACCCTTCTTCGCCTCGCTGCGCGCTCTCGTGTTTCAAATTTCTCAAATCTCCACCACCACTCCAGGTCCAGGCCAGCTATTCCAGCTCTCCGAATACTTCCCCCATTCGTCTCCCGCCCCCCTATCCTTATCTTGTCATGTAATTGGCGCCACGTGTAGCGTTATCTAGGCGTGATGTGCGAGTGTCTTCGGTGGGTAGTCTTTGAGGCACGTCGACCCACGTGTTACTTGCCATCCTTCTGAACCAGGTTGTTTATATCGTTAGACCGTTGAATCGCACCCAACTTTGCTACCGTTACATCCTTGCCATTTTCGCGGCAATATCGAGAGCGGGTTGGACGGCGAGAAGACCCGCGCCTGGTCCGCCATGGGCAAAACGGAGGCGCGCACGACGAGCGGCTCCCGGGACGAGCGGGAGGAACGGGAGGGGCGGCGCTGGTCGCGGAGCTTGGGGAAACGAGAGTGGGAGCCGGCGGCCGGGCGGGGGGTGGCGGATTCTCAGGCGGAGACGGCTCTCGATTCGTCGGAGACTGGCGCGCGCTGGCGGGGAACGAAGGCGGTGGGGGGTGGGGAGGAGGGCAAGCGGCGGAGGAACGGGAGAATGAACGTCGGGACTATTGGGGGAGCAATGGGCAGTGAGGGGAAGGGGGCGCGCACGGGGGCAGCTGGCGCGCAGCTGTCGGAATCCGGGGAAAGAAGAGAGCGAGGCGGAAGGGGGCCTAGAGGAGGGGAGGCGGGAAGAGAGGAGGTTTGTGAGGGAAGCGGGGAAGAGCGGGATGCAGAGGGCACGGGGAGAGAGAGGGATGTGGATGGGGAGGAAGAGACGGAGGTAAGACGAATGGAAGGAGAGGGGGGGGGTGATGGAGAGGCGGCGAGGGGATCAGACGGGGTGCCGTGTGCTGGAATGAGTGCTGCCAGTGGCCACGGCGCTGCTGCTGCTGCTTGCCCTCGCTCCACAGCCGCTCCACCAACCTGCCCTCCAGCGGGCCACGCACGCAGCGGTGCGGGCGCGGAGGAGAGGGGCCCTGGGAAGGGCAGGGGAGGAGGAGTGATGGAGAGAGGGATTATTAGTGTTGGGCCCTTGGTGCACCGTGCAGAGGAGAGGGCGGAGGGGGTTGCGGGGAGTGAGGATGGCGGGGAGAGCGAGAAGGCAGCATGGGGCATGCTGGGGAGCATGTCTGAGATGATCGCATGCCTGCATGCCTCCATGCACATGCGTGTGCCCATCACTGCACTCCCGTGCCTGCATGTGCGCACTCTGGGTGTGGCACCTACAATACCCGCACAGCCAGTGCAGAAGCAAGAAGCATTGCGGCCGCCATCACCTGCGCCCCTGCATATGGCCGCGGTGTCAGCAGGAGTGGGCGCTGAGCTGGTGCGGCTGGTGGGGCGGGCCTCGCCGTGGGGTGTTGCTGGGGGCACAGGGAGGGTGCGGCGAGTGGCTCAGGCTGTGAGGGACGTGGTTGGAGGTGGGAAAGGAGACAAGGCAAAAAAGGGAGAGGGGGCTAGTGGCCAGGAAGGGAAGGGAGGGGGAGTGGGCGCGAGGGGGATTGGGGAAGGGGGCAGGCAGAGAGGGGTATTGCGAGCAGAAGAAGGGAAAGAAGGGGCAGGGAAGTGTGGGGTGCAGGGAGATGAGACGAGCGGCCATAGAGAGGGGGGTATCGGGCATGCAGGGGCGGGTGTGGGGCAAGGAGCAGATGGGCGTGCGTGGCAGCAGGGAACTGAGCACGCCATGCTCAATGGTGGTGCTGGGCTTGTGCCATTTGCTGACGTGCGTGCCGTGTGTGATGGCGATGGGACTGCACTCATGCTTGGGAAAGCTGCGCCACACGACCAGACTTCACAGCATGGTGGGTGCATGTGCATTGAGCGCACCGTCACCCGCATACATATGCACGCATGGATGCGACCGCATGCACTGCACACTCGCTGCATCCTGTTTATAAAATTAACAAACCCCAACTCCAGGCCCATGGGGCTAAGCGCTGACTCTCCTTCTTTGCAACGCATCTGTTCCCCCTCTCCCCCTCCACCACAGCACTGCAGCAGCAGCAGCCCAGCACCAGGGATCAGCCCTCCACGCCCCCCATGCTGCACGTGCCAGTGGCTCCCCTCACTGCTCCCCTGGCGGCGCCCTCCCCCGGGCAGGGCGAGGCAGCAGCAGCAGCAGCAGCAGCAGCAGGAGCGGGGCAGTGGGGAATGGAGGAGGCGGTGGTGGCAGGGTCGGAGAGGTGGGGCGAGGAGGATGCAGGGCGGGTCATGGCGGCGGTGGCGGCTCGTCACGCCACCATGGTGGCCCTGGGGGAGGAGGGGCAACGTGTGGCAGCGGCAGTGGCGGCTATGCGCACAGCGTACGGCATAGAGGGGCCATGCCATGCTGCTGGCGGCACAGGGGCCGGTGCTCAGGTGACGCTGACTGCTCACTCCACCTTGCCGCTCGCCCCGTCTTGCTGTTCATTGGCTCCAATGCGTGGAGCTGCGCTGCACTGTCTTGCGATATATGCATGTGGCACCACATGCTTGTGCATTCTCGCGATCTCTCATGCCCTCACTCTCTTTCTTCCTGTCATTGGCCTCTCCGCCAAGTCCCCCATAGGCTATAACACCTTCTTCTGTCCAAACCCCCATGTCTCCATCTCCCCTCTCCCTCACCCACCCAACCACCCCACCAGTCACACCAGCAAGGCGGCACCGTGCCGCCATCAGAGCACGCCCAACACCCCGTCCTGCTGCTGCCGTGCATGCTGGACCTGCCTGGTGTGCCCTGTGCTGTGTGTGCGCGCCCCGTGTCATCCCGCTCCTCTCTCATCTGCGACACCTGTGACTGCCCCACGCACACACGCTGCCTCGCCTCCTCCCCGCCTGCTGGCACGGGCCGAGGCAGAGGCAGAGGCAGGAGCAGGGGGAGGGGGCGGGGGCGTGGGCGAGGGAGGGGACAGTGGCAGGCGGTGGTGGGGGAGGGGGTGGGGGAGAGTGTGCTGGACGAGTGGCACTGTGCCCCATGCAGGGCGGGCAGGGAAGCTAGTGGGCAGAGCATTCTGCCCAAGTATGGGCCGCTCAGGGCCAGGCCTGATGCACCGCTACTGCTCACAGACTCCGGAGCAGGACAAGCGGACAGAGAGGGCGGCAAGAGCTGAGTAGCTAGAAATGATGGTGCAGTAGACTGTGGAGTAGAATGCACATGGGAGTGCTGCGCCTTGTGTGTGGTGAGCAGTGCGGCCAGTAATCCTTGGGTTATGTGTAGCCCTGTAGACTAGTTCTACCATAGCATGTACAACTCTAGCAATGTCATCTCATCCATAGTAGCAGATTCATACATATTCCGTTGCACAGTGCATTACTGCTGTATGTCATCTTCTAGCGCATATGGCAGCTACGGTACGCGCAACGACGTCAGATTCTGTGACTGGCCATTCGCGATCCTTCTCCACAGCAACCAAATCTGCAGTCACTGGCTGTCATTGTCGCGCACGCCGCTAGAGCAAGGCTGACACGAGGTGCGTAAGCATGCAGACCTAGTACAACCACTACTACATAACTATAAGACTGCTTCTCTAGAGTGACTCCCTCAAACAAAACTTCACTAGGAAATACCTTGCAATACCTTCGTCATTCCACTCAGTTTCCAAGGCCTTAGTTCGTTCGTGAGATAACCCACCGGCACCCCTGTGCACTGTGCGGCAATCTCATGCAGGGAGACCAGTCAGCTCCAAGTCTTGTGAGTCACTGACTGATGGGAACAACTGCCTGCGGCTGTGCGGTGTGCACGCGTGCTGCATACCCGCGCATGCCAGCAGCATTGCATGCCTTAGAGGAGGTCATCCCCCGCCTCCTCGCCCTCCTCCAGCACCACCACCATCTCCTGCATGCCACCCTGCTCCCCCTCCTGCCCCAGCTTCTCCGCCCTCTCTGCCAGCACCATCTCCGCTGCTGCCAGCGCTGTCAGCGCCTCATGGCACGCATGCCTCGTCTCCACCACCTGCTGCAGCGCTGCCACTGTGCACGCATTGCCCGCCACGTCGCTCCACTCCTTCCACTCAAAGTACCGCACTGCCAGGTCCAGCGCGCCCTCCCTGCTGCTGCTGCTGCTGCTGCTGCTGCTGCCAGCACCACCACCTCTCGTGTTGCCATGCACACCTGTCTGGTTCATGGCTATCATTGTCCCTGCTGTGGCAGCAGCGGCGGGAGCACCAGAAGCAGCAGCTGCTGCTAAATCCGTTGCATCTGCCTTTGCCTCCTCCTCAACAACATCCACCTCGCATTTACTGGAATTGCAAGCCCCTTTGGTTACCCCACTGTGTCTCGCATTCTGCTCCGCTTCGCTGCCTGCCTCTCCCTGCCGTGACTGCTGCAGGGCCGCTATAGCCGCCTTGAACACTGCTGCCAGATCATGGGATTGCTTGCGCGCCTGATGCCATAAAAACAAACACGGCAGGCCACCATAAAAAACATTTGAGAAACATAAAACAGGGCAAAAGAGGTGGAAGGTAGAGGAACTAAGCAATCGGAGTTGAGCATTGACGGACCGAGGGGCAACGGAAGGGCAGCAGAGCAGCAGGGCGAGGGCGGGGGCGGGGGCGGGGCCAGTGGGTGGGAGCAGTATACCCTGAGAGCGTGGTGCAGGCGGACCTCCAGATCCCTGCGCGTGCACTCCAGCGACCGCGCCGCCGCCTCGCTGGCTGCTGCTGCCGCCCTCACATGGCGCGCTGCCGCCGCTGCCTCCCCCGCCAGCAGCTCGTACTCTGTGCATGGGGGGTGGTGCAGGGAAGGGGTGGGCGGATGGGCATGAGTGGGCCTGGAGGCGAGGGGGCACCACGTCACAGTTACTTACATAAGGCAAACCAAGAGCAGAGCAAGCATTCGTGAGTGAGGAGTGTGAGAGGAGATGTGAGAGGAGATGTGAGAGGAGATGTGAGAGGAGATGTGAGCAGCAGTGCTGGTATGGTAGCTCTCATTCAGCTCATAACACACAAGCCACACTGTCTTCCTAAGCTCACACACACACTTCCCTCCCCTCCCCTCCCACCACCACTCCCCCCCTCTTCCCTTTTCCAATGCACATGACCTGCTTCGAGTCGCAGGAGGCTGGCGAATGGCAGGGGGACGCGCAGGGCCTTGCTGACCAGCTCCTCTAGGTAGTCCTCCGACACTTCCTGCCATCCATCATGAGGGAACGAGGGGGCGGAGGGGGCGGAGGGGGCGGAGGAAGGGGAGGGGGGTGGAGGGGTGCACGTGCAGGTAAGGGAACCAGGGGGTGGCGTGTTAGTGGGAGGTGGGGCAGTGCTGTGCTGTGCCCTTCCCAGCCGCCTACTTACTTCCATGTATGCCCTCGTGCTGTTGGTTTCCTGATATACCCACTTGCTGGGGGTGCAACGATGCAATGTATGAAACAACTCACTGCCTCCCCTCTCTCCCGCTACTCAAAATGACCTGCCCTCCCCCCCGCCCCCCCTCCCCTTTGCACGTGCCTTGAGTTGCAGGGGCAGCTCGACGCGCAGGAAGTGCATGGCGTACTCCATCTCCGGGCACTGCTGCAGCTGCCGCTCACACACCTGCCACCATGCACGCCGCCAGGGGGGGAGGGGTCGGGTGGGGAGGAATGGAGAGGACGGGGAAACGAGAACAGGTAAAGGCGAGGAGGCTGGGGTGGCGTTGCATGCGTCAAGGATAAGCTGACGATGGACACAGGGAGGGAGAGCAGCACTGAGTCACGGGACAATGCAGCGCCACATGGCGTGCGACGCGACGCGATGCATGCCATGGCATGGCAGCAGCAGCGCACCCACCTGCAGCAGCACCATGCCGAGCTTGAAGACTATGGCTGTCGTCTTGTCCGCTGGCACACACAAGCGCAGCACACACAATCGGGGCACAGACACGCAAGAGAGAGAGGGGTGAGATAGGAGCAGAGCGCATGGGGTATGGGGAGAGGTGGCAGGTTATTGGTGGTAGTGCTGATGTCCATAGGAAGTAGAGAAGAGAGGCAAGGGAAGGAGCAAGGGAGGGAGCTCATGGCACGGCTGAAGCCATGGCTGAACCCAACTAAGAAGGAAAACGGCTGTGCAGTGCTGCGGTTGGCAATGCACACAGTGGAGACGATGCTCTACTTCACTTCAGTGTGCTCTCGTCTGCTCTCTTCTGCTCTATTTTGCTCTCTTCTGCTGCTGTGCTGTGGTGCGTTTTGACATGCATGCAGCACGCACCGAAGATGATGTCGAAGACCCGGAAAACGATGTAGTGAGGCATGGTGCGCGCAAAGAGCGACAGAAACCAGTCCGCAGCATACATCACCTGTGCACGGGGACAGACACATAAGAAGGGGGAGGGGGGAAGAAGGGAAGATGAGAAGGATGTAGTGTAGGGGGAGGGGGGGTTCAAGGGCTGTGGCAAGGGTCGTGACAAAGGGTGGGAGAACAAGAGAGACGAGACAAGGGCAGGAGCAGGGAGGGAGCGGCGCAGGGTTGTGGATGGGTGGAGAGGAGACTCACGGGCTTGACATCGAGGTCCTCGAAGTACGCATGCACCTCGGGGTGCGAGTCAATGAGCAGCTGCGACAGCTGGTACATGCGCAGTTGTAGCTGCAGGGGGTGGGTGAGGTGGGGCACGAGGGGACGGGGGACGTGCAATAAAAATCACATGCCCGAGATGTTAGTTGCATCGGAGGAGGGGGGACAGGGACGAACGTCATCCATGTAGGATCGGGGGAGCTTACACGGTGAGATTGGCAAGCATGGTTGTGGGAGAAGTTTTGATACGATAGCACACACTCAGAGAGGTGAGTGAGTGAGTGGGTGGGTGAGTGAGTGAGTAAGTGGGTGAGTGGGTGCGTGAGGGAGTGAGTGGGTGAGTGGGTGAGTAAGTGGGTGAGTGGGTGAGTGGATGAGTGGGTGAGTGAGTGAGTGAGTGAGTGGGTGGGTGAGTCGGTGAGTGAGTGAGTGAGTGAGTGGGTGAGTGGGTGAGTGAGTGAGTGAGGCACGGACCTGCTGCATGTCGGGCAGGAAGACCCCTCTGAGGCCGCACTTGTAGAGCAGGAAGACGAGGCAGCAGAAGGCGTCCTCCTCGCCCATGAGCAGCAGCAGCGTGGCCACTATGAACCCCATGCCCTGGCAGTACCCCACCTCCTTGTCCAACACCTGCCGGGGAGGGGAGGGGTGAGTGAGGGGGAAGGAGAGGGGGTGGGGCACGCGCAGAGGGGGTGGGGCACGCGCACGCGCACACAGGGCGGACGGATGTCAGGGATGGGAAGGACGGGTGGAGGGGAGAGGGGGTGGGAGGGAGCAATGGAGGGACAGACTCAGGAGGGGATTGGAAAGAAATCGGACGAGAGCAGCTTGGGGAGGACGGGGTAAGTATGGTTGGGGGGGTGTTAGCGAGGGTGGTTGGGAGAGTGGGGGAGGCGCGTGCGGGGGGTGAGGCGTACGGAGTAGGCTTTGATGACGTTGAAGAGCGCCTTCTGCCCCGCGCCCCTCTCATCCTGGAACATGCTGTGCAGCGGAAACGTGCGGTTCACGTCACGCTGGATCTCACTGCGGGGGTGGAGGTGTGGGCGCATGGGGGAAGATGGGGGAAGCTTTTCGAGTCAACTCGAACGTGCGGTTCACATCATGCTGAATCTCACTGGGGGGGAGGAGTGGGTGCATGGGAGGGGACGGGGAAAGCTTTAGAGTCGACTCAAAGTGGAAACGTGCGGTTCACGTCGCGCTGAATGTCAGTGGGGCGGAGAGGGATGGGGAAAGGGACAGGTTGGCTTGACGCCAGGGGGATGCAATGAACCAGCGTGCATGGTGGCATGGCACGACAGTGAGCAGCAGGGAGAGAACAGAGTAGGGAAAGGTGTGCGGAATGAGTGCGATGCAGTGCAGTGCTGTGCTTGCAAGGGGGGGCAGGGGGGTAGAGGGTGGAGCGGAGCGAGGGAGTGGTGAGGGAGGGAGGGAGAGAGTGGGCAAGAAGCGAGTGGGCATGACGCACTTGGCGGAGGCTGATGGCTGCTTCAGAAGATTGCGGTAGTTGCGACGACTCATTATCTCATCCTGCCATGCCATGCAAGCCCACATTGTGCCATGTTGTGCCAATACACAGCGAAAGGGGCAGGGTGAAGGCGATGAGCTGGAAGATTCAAACGACTCCCCACTTGGTCGTTGCATGGCCCAGAACCAAGAACCCGCACACCTCATGCCCCTCGCCTCGCAGCACCCACAGCCGGATATCCCCACCCCAGGCAGCAGCAGGAGCACAGGTCAGGGTAGCGCATGAGCCACCAGCAGCACGCACCTCCGGGTCAGCACAAGCGATGGCCAGCCATGTCTTGGCGCGCTGCTCGCCCTTCACCTGCCCCTTCGCCAGCGCTGCCAGCAGCTCTGGCCCTGGTGATGGCAGCTCATACTCCCCCAGCGCTTGCGAGTGCTGCTGCTGCTGGTGGTGGTGATGATGCTGGTGGTGGTGATGATGCTGGTGGTGGTGATGGTGCTGGTGCTGGTGTGGGGTGCCAGAGTCAGCTGCATGTTCGTCCAGGTGCGGGTGCGACCTGGGGGAGGCTGACTGGGTAGGGTCCTGCTCTCGTGACACGCGTCGGGGGAGGAGGAGGGGAGAGACAGGGAGAAGGGGTGGACTGGAGGAGACACAGGAGGGGAGGGGGGAGGCTGGCACTAGTGCTTGGCGCAATGAGGCTAGCTAGCAGCAGCAACACAGCGACTAGCATTCAGGAGCTGTCAGCAATGCAGTCAGTCTATCACACTTGTCTGCACTAAGCGGGACCATTCGCGCGTCCCTCCCTCCACCTCCGTCGCCCCCCCTTCCTCACCTCAACGTCCATTCCCTGAGCGGACGGCATGATCCGTCTCATGCGCTCCCACATGCGTATCATCTGCCGGCCGCCTGACACAGCAGCCTCAGCGGCCACCATGGCGGCCTCCACGCCGCTGGAGCGGTCTAGGCGGGCCGCCTCCTCCCTCAGCTCTGCCAGGTCCACACTCGACCCTATAGTCGCCACGCGCCTGTGCTGCTTCCGCTGCCGCTGCCGCTGCAACCCCACCGCCCCATCCCTCCCTGCTCCCCTCCCCATGCCTGCACCACCACCGCCTCCTGCTGCTGCTGCTGCTGCTGCGGGCGGTTGCAGCGGGGAGGAGGAGGAGTGCGTTGGGGGAAATGGGGCAAGTGCGCTGGTGATGGTGGACGGGGTGGGGGGGCCCATGGCATGGGAGGAGTGAGAGGCTGGCTGGGCGCGCCAGTGCGGCAGCAGAGTGGGAGGGACGGGTGGAGAGGAGGTGGGCGCGGTGCCGTCGCTGAGGGTGGAAGGGAAGGCGGCGGGGCGGGGAGAAGCGGTGGAGAGGGAGAAGGCGGAGGCTTTAGAGGTGAAGCGGGACGTGCGCGGGGTGATGGGAGGCAGCACGGACGACGAGAGAGGGGCGGCGTGTGGGGAGTCGTCGAGGTGCTTGAAGGAGGAGGGCGCGAGGTGCGATTGGCGGTGGAAAACGGGCGTCATTGCAGCTGAGCGCATGGGCGACGGCGGGTGCGACGAGGGGCCGAACACCGGCAGCGTTATGGGCACTGGACACCGCGGCTCACGCACCTCTGCACAGCACACGCAGAGCAGCAGCGAGAGGGATGGCGGGTGAGAGAGACAGTGGGTGGGGGTAGGGAAGCGGGGAGGGAAGAGAGTGGATGAGTAATTGTATGATCTGATCTGATCTGATGCCGTATGGACAGGTTGTCGTAAGCCATCAACAGAGTCAGAGAGCACCAACCGCATGCTTGCACTCACAACGCAGAATCCTCTCTCCCCAGACACCATTAACTCTCACAATGTCTATCCAACAGCGCTCACTGAACCATCCCATGCAACCCATCGCACGCCCTTGCGTTCGGCCGTGCTAAGCCCCTGCCATGGCATGTGCGACCCTGCCCAGCCCAGCACCCACCCCTGTCACCATCCCCCACTCCTCTTGGGCTTGGCGACCTTTGCTCGCGCTTCTCCCCCTCCCCATGCCCTCCCACCCTTCCTTTCCCGCCGCCATTCCCCCCACCCTCTCCCCTCCCCCCTGTGTCGTCCCCCTCCACGCCCCCTGCCCCCCCCTCGCCCCCTCCACGTCGGGAAATGGCGGTCTGCTGCTCGTTAGCCAGCAGCTCGTTCTGGCGCTCGATCTGCCGCCAGGGGGCACAGGCACGGGCGCAGCGTGGAGAGAGCGGGGCGGGGGGCGCAGGCACAGACAGAGGAGCAGGCGGGCGAGACAGAGAGACGAAGGGGAAAGGGATGAGGAAGGCAAGGTGCAGGGGTGGACTTTCACAAGGCACCAGCAGAGCAGCCATGGGCACAATAGCACTTCCCAAGGGGATGGCTGTACGTGCAATGCAATACACGTTGTGGAGAGGGCGGCAGGGAGGAGAGGGGTGCATTGAGGGAGGGCGTACCCGGAGCAGCAGGATCTCTTCGTAGAGGTACTCGAGCCACTCGTCGTGCATCATATTGCTGAACAGCTTCTCCTCGCCTATGCGCCCCGGGGCGTCGTCCTCCACCTCCTCAGCCTGCTCCACCGCTGCTGCTGCCGCCGCCACACCGCCCCCTGCTAACACCAGCTCTGTGGGGGTGTGAGAGTGAGCGTGTGACATGCAGTGCAGGGGCGGCGGAATGGGGGAGAGGTTTGGATTGATGCACATGTATATTCATGAGAGAGAAGACCCATGGGAGGGAAAGAAACAGGGAAAGAGAGTGACTTGGCTTGGGGTGGGAAAAGTGGGCGTTTAAGTGTGGGGGAGAGGGTGGCGCGGGCGAGGGGAGTGGAGTGAGGAGTGGAGCAGTGCCATGAAAACCCCGGGTTGGGGAAGGCGCTTGGCTTGGCAGTACCGCTTGAGATGGGAGTGCGAGCGAGCACGCGTACCTCCTTCCCTGAGGGCGTCCACCTCCGGCTCTGTCAGCACCGCGTTGAGGAACACAGTGCGCGCCCGAGACAGGCTCTCCTCGCCCATCCCCGCTGCTGCCCCCGCCGCTGCTGCCGCATCTGCCCTGCTGCTGCTCCGTGGAAGGCGTTGATTTGAGGCGCAGGCGCACGCCGCACAGGTAGGGGAAGGGCATGCGCAAGGCAGGGGAAGTGAGGTGGGGTTGTCAGGCGGACAGTGCGTTGGTGTGTGCGAGTGTACGCGCATGCACGTGAGAGGGTGAGAGCGGGGAGGGGAGAAGGATGGCGTGTTAGACGAGAGGGGAGGGTAGGGGAAATGCGGACGAAGAGTGAGGGGTGGGGAAGATTGAGGAGTGGGTGTGGAAGACAGAAGGCAAATGTTTGTGAGAGGATTGTGAAGGGAATGGTTGCGTTGGGCGGCTCACCTGACTTCATCGTCCATGGAACCGTCCTCCAGAATCTGCAATGGAGCCGAGCATGCCGCAGTGTCATTCCATGTGATCTTTAGGTCATTGCACGAATGTAATGACTTGCCATGCAATGGGGGGGAAAGGTAAGATGGGTGCTATTGGGCAGGATGAACTTGAAGGGAGTGAGGAGGAGGAGGAGGAGGAGGAGGAGGAGGAGGAGGAGGAGAAGGGCGGGAACGGGAATGGAGCTCATTATAGCGCATGAAGCTGTAGCTCTGAGGCGGAGCACGGTGGATGCGAGAAGGCTCTGACCTTGACGGAGCCCGAGGGCTTTAAGATGGCGAGCTGTTCCTGGCTCACCCTGCCCACTGCCACCGCGTCCATCATGCTGCCGCCACCTGCTCCTGCCAACCCCAACGGGAACCCCAAGGAAGGCGCAGAGGGCGTTGTACGCAACGAGACGCGGGAGCCGGCCATCTCAAGGCGCTACGTGATCGCTCGCTAGCCGGCCATCCCCATGCGACTGTACAGCAAGCCTGCTGTCGCGGCTACCGCCACTAATACTTTTCCGTGAACCAGCGCCCGCGTCTCAGCCTTACTGTATCGCATGACCTAATTGTCACGTGACGGAATACTTGTACGGCCATGGTGAAGCATGCCTGGCGGCAACACCTAACGGACGGAAATATTTAGCGAGGAAGAGGGTAGGGAGAGGCGACGTTGATGGGGTGACAGGTAACAACGGGAGGCGTTGACTGTTTCTCCTCGAGCCTGGACGGCGATTCATTGGCTGGGAAAACACGATGCCGACTGATTATGTGAACGAAAGAGTTTAAGTTTGGCGACAAAGCTCTCGGAACATCTTTAATCTGTGGCCAATGTCTCGACAATGCGTTCCCACAGTCCTGCGACCAACCGTTCATCTAACGGTTGGCCATTGCTGCGGAACCCTCACCAGAATGCGCGAAAGATGACCGCGATTAATGTTCGATACACTTGCGACCAGGCGGCATCACGAGGCCGTTGTCCGTGTTGCCTCCAAACATCTACGCTAATGAGCTGGGGAATCAGTTTTGTCAAGGACTAGCATGAAACTAGGAGCAGCAGAGAATGGACTGACGGGTACGATCATGGGGCGGGAGAATGTGTGTGTGAGCACAATTGCCGCCGGTCTCGGTTGGTCGGTCAGCAGAAGCCACAATGGGGCGGGCGGGACTGCTGAGGGGTGGATGAGGTCTGCTGACAGGCGTGCTCGGCATGGCGGTGGGGGATTGGTAAGGAGGCCGGGGAGGGAATGATAAAAAAGTTGCAATTCGTAACTTAAATTTATTTTGGAATGGCATATCTGCGTCACCCTGCTTGAGCGCGACTCTAATTCCTTCTGGAAGAAACAAAGTGCCGGGTCGTGTTTACACGAGGCATACGCGTCGGCCTGAGACTGTTACAAGTGGAAAACAATATAGAACCCAGAGGGGCCCGGCATAGTGTTCGGGGTGGCATCAACCCAAAAGTCCCACAAAATCGCAAGTTTAGGGTTGATGCCATCCGAAACAGCATGCGGGCCCCTATGGGTTAATTTGTTTCTCGTAAATAAATGTACACATCTGTGGAACTGGCAACAAATAAGACGACGAGGGCATTAGGGTGAAAATTGTAAAAGCCACCTCATTGTTTCCTTCCTCCAAAAGGAATTGGAGACGCGCAACGGTAGGGGGACGCGGATATGCTGCTCCCAAAGAAATTCATGGTACCTTTCTCTACTTTTTAATCATTCCCTCGAGTTTGGGGGAGACGGCTTGGAAGATTTTTGTTGTTCAGGCTGTTGTTTGTTCGGATTTCGAAACACACAACTGTACCAGTCTACAACCGTCCATTTTGACTGCGGTACAATTTTCGCCTCAATAATGACACAAATCCGCGATTATTCTATAGTTTGCACGACACGAAACGGGGTCACGATCTTTTTTCCCTGTCTGGGACGGGTTCACGCTCCCAAACCTCCCTTGAATTTGCTGGGGGGAGCTGTGTTCTTTTGTGCGCTGTTCTTATGGATGAGGTCTTCGATAACGTCGAACTGTAAGGACGTTCAGTGGTGAGATTGATACAAATCGTATCACTACACATAATTCTCTTATATGAAAATTGATTCCAACACGTGTAAGTGCGATTGCCATCTAGAGAACCTTTTCGATAGATGAAAATTTCCCAATCATGGCAATACATCATAAATTATTGTGACAATCTGGATTTCTTTTTACGGTTGCTCCTTAATCGTCATAAACCAACATGTGCTCTATAGAAACTCACTTGAGAAATACATTTATATATTTACCTTCGAATGTTTCATGATTGAGCTCTCAGAGTAGCAAAGTGAACTAAGCAAGGGCATACATGGTGTTATATGAGTTGTCGGTTGTGTCGAGAGACCCGCTGGGGTTACCCTTGAGAAGATCCTCGGAGAAGGTGTTGAAAGGAGTTTATAAGCATAGTAGCTAGTCATGAGAAAAGTCAAAAGGTTTTAGCTGGAGAAAGGTTACAAAAGGAAAGAGCTGTTAAATTATATATGTTCGTATATAATTGTAGGCTTGGTAGACGTTACTGAACATTACTGTAGAGGGTACAATACCCCTCCTTGTATCCCTCTCTCTTCCTAGTCAACTCTCTTTTCTCTCGTCAAATCTCCCTCTCCTAGTTCTCCTAGGTCCTAAAACCTCACACCACTTTCATGGCGTCCTAGTTTCTAGTCCTGACATGGTTTCAGAGCAGGTCGCCCTTCCCGGGCCTGCTCTCCACGATTCCGCTGCGTACCCGTCCTTAATTGGCCGCCGTCGCGGCCTTCTGTTTGCCTGCCGCCGAGGCACATTTTCCGAAATGCCGCGGCAGCCTCTATGTGCTGTCGTCTCAGCGTCGACGAGCAGCCGCGGCTCCGACGCCACGCTGTGGTGGCGTTGTAGTGGTGCCGTGGCGGTGTCGACGGCCTGTTGCCGTCACACACCACCTGCGTCACTGCTGGACTTGCAGCCCGCCCGCACGCCAATAAGCGCCGCGCCAGCAATGACGCCGCGCTGAAGATCCGAAACCCCGCCCCTCCCTCCTTCCCCCTGTCTCCTCCTCTTCGCCACAGCCACCGCCTGACTCTCGCCGGTCGTCCCCCTGTCGCGGAGTTTGGACACGCCGCCGAAAGGGCGGGGCCCGCTGCCGTTACCGCAGTTGTAAGCCGAAGTCGTCGCCGTCGCCGCTGTCGTCGCCGCAGGCCTGTTGCCGCCGCACGCCGCCGTCGCCGTTGCTGTCGCCGCTGCCGGAACTACTGTCGTCGCCATCTCCAGGGCCTTGGGGTTGGCCCTGCTAGAGTAGTCGTGGCTGCTGGGAATGGGGGTGCTAGGTTAGGGGGTGTGGGGGTGTGTGGGTCCTTGTGCTACCAAGCCTAGGGGGTGTGTTAAATTATATATGTTCGTACATTATTGTAGGCTTGGTATACGTAATTGAACATTACTGTAGAGAGTACAACACCCCTCCTTGTATCCCTCTCTCTTCCTTGTCAACTCTCTTTTCTCTCGTCAAATCTCCCTCTCCTAGTTCTCCTAGGTCCTAAAATCTCACGACACTTTCATGGCGTCCTAGTTTCTAGTTCTTACAAGAGCGTCGGACTAGAAGAGAGAGGGGTACAAAAAGAGGAGGTTGTACCCTCTACAGTAGGATCAAGGTTTCGGCTAGGATTTAGGGTTGTCTGAGAATCAGACGGGGTTTCAAAGTTTGGTCTAACAATCAGACGAAAAATTTAGGGGAGTCTGAAATTTCAAACGAATTTTTAACACAGGATCAGACGAGAGCAATTTCGACTTCGATTTATCAGGTTTCGTCCAGAGCCCGGTCGGCCAATTTTGGAGACGAGAGGCTCACATGGAGCGTGTTCCTGCACCTCGTATCAGAGACGCCACTTATCAGACTCCCATGGTACTGTACATTTCGAGTTCGATGCGAGCTGGTTGAGTCCGTTTCGGAATGGTTGAACCCGAGGGTGAAAAGTGGCTCGCCTGATGAGGCGTCTTAGGAACACGCTCTAACGTTACGTGTCACGTGCAGTCAGTCCTCTCTTTTCGCCCCGCCATTTCAGGGTTCGCCCTGCCCCCCATCCAGTCAAGCTGGGTGACGGGCAGAAACGGGATAATTTTATAATATGCTTGATTGTTGTTTTTATTCTCCCAAACTACAACCGTAATATACTTTCTGGTGTTCGTATACAGGGGGGAGGTAGTGGGACGGTCTTTTTTCCCCCCCCCCCCCCCCCTTTTTTTTTTTTTTTTTTTTTTTTTTTTTTTTTTTTTTAAGAACTGGCTGTGTTGGGCTTTTTAAAAAAAAACCGGGCTGCGAGGGGTGTATAGAGGAATGTATCTCGCAGTATAGGACTTAGACACAATTTGTGGGGATGCACATGGTGTGTTGCGGAATGTCTCTGGTGTGGGGGACTTAGCCAGAAAAAACTGGGTTTCGAGAAGCGTGAGAGGAATCTATCTACCAGTCGGGGACTTGGCTGGAATGCTTCGTTGTTAGGGGAGGGGGATGGGGAGGAAAGTTTCAGACGAAAAAATCCGCTCTATCTGATTTTTCATACGAAGCTCTTTACCTAGTCTGAACTTTTAGACGAAATCTTATGGCTTGTCTGGACGATCTGACGAATTAGATCAGCCCGTTAAAAAATCAGATAAATGAAAAAAAAAAAAAAAAAAAGGGGGGGGGGGGGTCCTATTTTCAGACCATCGGACGGATTTCGCCTGATATCTGAGACGCTGAGTAGGATCGAGTAACTGTAGCACACATACCAAGCCTACTCAATAAAATATATACATAATATATAATTTGGCACACCCCTTAGGCTTGGTAGTAGCAAGCCCACCCAACACGCAACACCCTCAAGCCTGTGCACCCCCATGTCCTACAGCAGGGGTGGCTTCTAGTCCTCGTGCAAACTGGCGATAGCGACGGCGGGTGGCAGCAACGGCGTCAGCGGCGGCTTCTACGATGACAACAGCAGTGGAGGCTTTGACGATAGCGGCGGCGACTGCGAAGCTCGCGGCACCCGGCGACGACCGGGAATAAGGGGAGATGCAACGGGGGGAGTGTGTTTCAGCAAGGCGCCCATGACTGGTGCAATGGCTGGCGTGCGGGCGTCATGGCTGGCGCCTACAACGGTGCACGGCCGCTGCCGCCCGTGCGCTGGCGCGTCGACGCCGCCACGGCAGCACGACAACGCCGCCATGGCAGCACGATGACGCCGCCATGGCAGCGCATAAAGGCTGCCGTGACAGCACGACGTGGCCGCCACGGCGGCGCGTAAGTGACGGGGATACTGCAAAAGCATGATGACAAGGCTCAGCAGGATCGGCCTACTCTGAAACCATGTTGAAACGAGTTTAGGAGCCTAATAACTAGTCATGAGAAAAGTCGAAAGGTTTTAGCTAGAGAAAAGTTACGAGAGGAAAAAGCGTTGGACTAGAAGAGAGAGGGGTACAAGAAGGGGGGGTTGTACTCTTTACAGTAGGATCCAATTATTATAGCACACCAACCAAGCCTACTTGACAAAAGGGCCATAGGTGCAGAGCCTGGGGGGCAATGGGCGAACTGGCCCGCTACTAACAAGCCCTTTTAACTCAGTGGTTAGTGGCCCAGTTTCTAACATGGTATTAGAGCGTTGGACACTCGGGTTCAATTCCCAGTGCTAGCGCTGCAGAGGCGATAGTGTCCTTCGCCTATCTCAGGGAGGGGGGGTGTCGAGAGACCCGCTGGAATTACCCTTGAAAATATCATCGGGGAAGGGCCACAGGTGCAGAGCTTGGGGGGTTATGGGCGCACTGACCCGCTATTAGCAAGCCCTTTCAACTCACTAATAAGTGGCTAACATGTTGTACTCCCTAAGAGCATGCACATGTCTAGCCTGTAACTAGACATACATTAGAAATGTATAAGTTGACACACCCCCTAGGTTGGACAAGGGGCATTGCCTAGCAAGAGATACGCAACTCAGGGTGGCACTACTAGTCCAACCTCTGAGGCAAGGGTCTGAAGACCAGTCAACAAGAGTACAAACTAAAGAAGAGTAACCCAAGGCGGTACTACTCGTCCAGCCACTGGAACAAAAGTCACAAGGCCAGTCAAGATAATATAAGGAGTAGTACACAATCA